ACAAAATATGTAGTCAAAATCAAACTCCAAACATAAAAACTAAAAATCATAAGGCATAGCAACTTGCTCTCGCAAAACTACTACTATGGTTGTCCATCCACCATTGTTTTCTCCCGCCACTGTCATTCTAATAGGTTATTGTTTCTTTATTCGTGTTTCAAGTTCTATTTGTTAGTTTTCATCTTTTTATTATCTTTTATGTTTCTTGTTCAACGAATTTCCTTCTAGTCTTGTTACAAAATAATTTTTGATATGCGTTTGAGATGTGAAACATGTTAATTTATGTGTATTGAAATCTTTTATTTTTATTGTGTGCTTTATTTGTTAAACTTTTAAATCTTTCTCAATTTTTGTATTCTATAGTTAATCTTATTTCACGACACGTATGAAAATGATGTCAATACTTCATATGGATGAAGAATAACTTATAAGTTGTTTGAAAAGTATAGTATGAAATATATTATATGAAATGTATTATTTGAAAAAAATAATAGCATAACATATACCGAAAAATATGATAACAAATAATACACCGATGAATATAATATTTAGAAAAAAATATTAAAAACCGATCAATCAAATCAATCAAATCAAACCAAATCAAACCAAACCATTTTGTTTGATTTAATTTGTTTTAAAAAAACATAAAAATCGAACTAAACCAAATCGATAGAAATATCATCGATTCAAATAAATTTTTTAACCAAAAACCGATTCAAACCAAATCAATTACACCCATAATCTAACTTCGTCTTGGTCAAAAATGCCTCAAGAAAATGGAGAATATATGCTTTTTTGTAGACTACACATGCGTGAAAATATGAATTGTATTTTTTGCCTCATTTTAATTTTGAACTCTCACACACATGATGCATAGAATGCTTAATTCTTAAATAATAAACCTATTATATATAAGCTATTTCTTAGAGAGATTTAATTTTCATAATAATTTTACATTATTGTGGTAATGAACTTTGTAATATGTATTCTCAAGTTTATGTTTTCAATTTATTTTTAGAGTTTAAAGGAGATATATCGATAGTGTAAGTTTTACGGAGTCATTCAATAAAAATAAATTATTTTATTATGTTATATAAATTTTAAAAAAATTAACGTCTGATTTATCTTAATTTATGATTGTAATTGGTTGACAGTGTAAAACTTCTTTACACAATCGATATATCACTAATTTTCTCATATTTTTAATGATGTTTTCCTTCATCTATTTAAAAAAATAATTATTTGAACATAATTATTAAAAATATCAAACTTAGATTCTGCAAG